AGTGTGAGTGCACGCACGCACACGCACGTACAAACGCACACGCACGCTCACACGCAATACACATGCACACGTACAAACGCACACACACAAACACATATACACACATGCACACACGCACGCACACACACACACAAACACACACAAACACATATACATACATGCACGCACGCACACACACACAAACACATATACACACATGCACACACGCACGCACACACACATGCACATACATACATAAAATTGTGGATCGAATGACGGCGATGGTAACCGAAGTTAGACGTGTATGGCAAAGCCATGAAGTCTCGAGTCACAACAAGTTTGAGTTTCACGAAACAATGCTCATCAGTCAATGTTTGGCATGTTTTCCCCTCAATGGGTGCCGAGTTTGTCATGCACACGTCTGGTAAAACACTGATAGCCGCTGCATCCCTACCAGACGATGATGCTGCATGGCACTCACCTCTTCCTTGCGTGCGACATGGCAGATGTGCACGGGGCGCTTGTAAAGCTCGGCCAGCAGCAGGACGGCAGCAGTCGTAGCGCCCTCCGCGTGGCAGCACAGCGGCAGGTTCTTAGGCCAATGTTCGAAATGCTGGAGAAAGTCAAATGCCAAATCTTATTTGAGTTCTGAAGTATGAATTATAAAGATTATACTTCGAATTATGATACTACTCGAACATATATATCAGGGTTCTCCAAGAGCACTTATAGCCTGGCAGCCCGCCAGGCTATCGTCGAGCCGCGCCATCCTAAAATGCACCCGCCACTCTAAATATCATAGCCGCCATGCTAAAATTAGCTAAAAAATGGTAAAAAATGCTAAAACTAGGACCGTAAAGGCAGCCCCGCCACGCTATAATGAAAAAGCTTGGAGAACCCTGTATATATATAAATATATTATATAGCATAGTATATATATTATATATACCCTAGCTCATACTGCACTCGTGTTTAGTGAGAAGTCTCAGATAAAATATCGGTAAAAAACAGGGCGAAACAGGCGGAAATGATGTGCTAGGCAATCATCGACACTGTCATCCTATGGACCTATAGTCACTGACGAATATATATGACCGTATTCTGAATGGTGCTGGAGCTATAGCAGCGTAGCACAAGCTGCAATGCAATAGTGGCCTGAAAATGTTGCACTAGGTATTCATTGACACTCTCATTCTATAGACCTAGTCACTGATGAATATATGACCGTATTCTGAATGGTGCTGGAGCTATAGCAGCGTAGCACAAGCTGCCATGCAATAGTGGCCTGAAAATGTTGCACTAGGTACTCATTGACACTCTCATTCTATAGACCTAGTCACTGATGAATATATGACCGTATTCTGAATGGCGCTGGAGCTATTGGCTATTTGCTATTGGAGCTATTGGCTTGGAGTATATAGCTGAATGAGCTACGGCAGCGTGGCACGCACGCACCTTCATCCATGTTGTGATGTCGTCAAGCTTCAGTGTTGTGAACGTGTCGTTGAGGTACATCTTGAGGCCAGCCGCGGCCGAGCCGATTGTCGCCACCTTCTCCGCGTTGTCACTGGCAGCGCCGACAAACAGACCGTAGTCACAGCGCGCGCCCTTGCTGGCCAACTGCACGCCAAGTCACAAGTATTTTATACTACTATGTGGTGGGAGCGATTACTTCATACCACTACACGGTCAAAGTATTTTTTCACTACTACACAAAAATATTTTGGATTGATATCGAAATGTACTATATATCACAAAATGAAATGTATAAATTTGATATACATATATATTACATTAAAATATCATAAAAACTGATGATAGTATTCCAAGATCTTGGAAATTAATGCGGTGCGTAGACTGTAGGGGTGGGATGATTCAGCAATGTACGGATGTATCGTGACACAAAACTCTGATATACCCATCAATACGTTTGACTATTCACGATACACGTATCGATACTCTACGGAAAAAAAAATCTCTGTGTTCGGCAGCAGAGTTTCATCATAAAACAAAAGCATGACACAAGTTTAATAGCAGTTATTTATTAAGCACTCAATGATAATGATTTGTAAGCATTCTCATGATTGGTAGAATTCCGGTTAAGTGTATAATTTTACACGATAAGTTTCTCTTAAAAGTATCGCAAGATACGTGCTGTGTCGTGAAAGGTGTATCATGATGTGAAAGGTATGTGATATGGATCGTGAGCTACCCTTAAGTTATCGTTCAACACCTAGTAGATAGTCAGGAACATAGGCACATCGACACGTACCTTTGCGACCAGGTCAAATGAGTCTTGGTCGGTGATTGCTGGCTGGGTGTTTGGCATGGCCAGCACGAGTGTGATCCCTCCAGCGAGTGCGGCTGCCGTGCCGGATGCAAAGTCTTCCTTGTAGGTGGCGCCAGGTTCACGCAGGTGTACATGGACGTCGATGAGGCCTGAGCAATGATGACACGCGTAGATATGACACCACACGCAGCAAACACTCACGCAATAAACATCAAGCACCTTATCACATATCACATATCATATCTTCCATGAGCAGTTAAAATGCAGTATACTGCAGCTATTGGGACCATCTTGAAATCATTTCCTTGTAACCTGTTGTCAAAATGTGGGAGTGTGTGGACACAAGTCACACACAAACCTTATTATTATTTAATATACTATAGACACGCTGACCAAGACTGCTCCGATACCACTCGATTACTTACCAGGTAATGTCAGGATCCTGTTTGAGGTCAGACATTCTATGTTTGTCTTTAGGGTTGGTGCTGTTTTAAGACCCACCCTCCTAAGTGCCTGCAACAGAAGACAAAAAGCTTCGAAATCGCAACTAAAAACAGACGTCCTCAACCTTCGCTTATCAACAATATAATCGCTATTCAACCTATCATACAAGCTATATATCGAAATAATATCCCAGAAAACTTCAAAAAATGATATGAGTCATACATAAAGATCGCAGTAGAGGTAAACATGGGTGTCTTTCTTAGGAAATCGTACCTCAACGAAGAGTTTGACACACTTGACGTCAGTGAGGAGAGGGATCGAGTAATCCACAGCCATTCTGCGTGTCCTGTAACCCTGAAAGAGGTTAATTAGTTTTAATTAGCCAGCCATTACAGCTGCTCGCCAGGAAAAAATATCACCCCCATTCACATCATGTTTTTCGACTAACGTAACCACTTTCTTATCACGGGAAGTTCGACCACACGATTCGAGTATTCGCAGCTCACTGCGTGCTAAATTGCCAACAATACGCCACCATGTTACTAAGCAGCCTAATCAAAACATCCCATCTCAACATCGACCCGCTCTAAGCTGCCTGTCAGTCAAGGCTGCGGCGGTCATGCCCCTGCAGCTGCTGCATGGGTAGATATATCGATCAGAGCACGATTCCTCTACTCCCCTACTCTATTTTCATCATTTCTTCTTTTTCGTTTTGTCTTTTTCATTCATTTTTTCCCTCATTTCTACAATCCCCCTTCCTGCTGGAAGGAAGCCCCGCCTACCTGGGTCATAAAGGAGGAGACGCGCCGCGCGCCTCCATTGCGCATCGGAAGGTTGATGACGAGGTCAAAGTGGTTCTGCGCGAGTCGGTCGAGAATGTTCAGTATGTCGGGCTGACAGGACGTGTCCTTGTTGTCCATCTCCTCAAGCTGCCACTCGACCGGTAGGATCTGTAGCGGAGGAGCGTAGGACGCTCTTGAGTCGCGATGCCGGGAGTGGCGACTGTCTCTCATGACAGCGGAGAATGAGGCAAGACATCACGGGACTACCCCATGTCAACGCTAGCTGTTCATTCCCTTCTAGTTGTTCATTGCTAGCTGTTTATAATTGTTCATTGCCAGTTGTTCATTTCTAGATGTTCATTGCTAGCTATTTATAGTTGTTCATTGTCAGTTGTTCGATTTCTAGATGTTCATTGCTAGCTGTTTATAGTTGTTCATTTCTAGATGTTCACTGCCAGTTGTTCATTGCTACAATGCTAGCTGTTCATTGCTAACATGGAATCAAGATTTCTAGCCAAAGCTCTGATAGACAGTTAACCCAAATAAAAACCCACAGGGGCCCAACTAAATAAGGGATCCACTGGGTGCTGAGCCAAGCATCACCTCTCTAACAGTCTAATACAACTCTCTTTGAGTGCACCAAACGAAAACCATGTACTTTACCATTCCTACTGTGTACAAATCTGCATCCTGCACCCTGGGTAAATGACGACAATACGACATCTCGTAACGATCGCACGTCGTGACTTCGCGAACGAAAACCGTACGCGCCGATATACGTTACCTTGACGCCGTGTTCGGAGTAGAAGTCGGCCGTGCCTATGCTCGCGTACAGCTGGAAGCCCATCTTCTCCAGATGCTGGACGGTGGAGAGCAGCTCTGACTTGTGCTGAAACAAACACACACACGGCGTCACGCGCTGACGATCGCCACACTCATGCACAGATGCTGCTGCTGCTGCAGCTAACGTGGACCACGGCTCGCCACAGCTAGACCACAGCACGGTAGGCTTAGATACAAATATCTCGAAAAATGGCCTAAATATCTTTCCGGAAATTCTCCAAAAAATCTCTAAATATCTCAATTTTTTTTTCTAAATATCCCAATTTTTTTTTTTTAATATCTTAGTTATTTCAACGTAATGATTTTTTAACAATAACTTTTTTATTTATTTTGTGCGGAAAAATTTTTCCCAAAAAGTTTGAAAACAGTTTGCATCACTGGATGGTTTTTCTTAACAGAAAAGGACAAACTCATCCTTACAAATCCTTAATATTTGAGAAAATTGTGTTTTATCTTCTAAATATTAAGAAATTTTCTAAATATCCCGAAAACCTCTAACTATCTAAAAAATATCCGGATATTTGTATGCCTAGCACGGTTATGGAAAACTGAGCATTCACGGCCATTAACGGCAAACAGCGTCACGTGCTGATGATCGCTAGAATCTAACACAGAAGCTGCCACTATTTTCTCTCTCAGGAATAAGGAACACTGTACTGAACACCAATCCAGCTGGCACGCCTAACTCTAACACTGAAACTGCCAATGTTTTTGTCTGAGGAATAAGGAACACTGTACTGAACATCAATCCAGCTGACATGCCTAACTCTAACACTGAAACTGCCAATGTTTTTGTCTGAGGAATAAGGAACACTGTACTGAACATCAATCCAGCTGACACGCCTAACTCTAACACTGAAACTGCCAATGTTTTTGTCTGAGGAATAAGGAACACTGTACTGAACGGCAACCCAGCTGACACGCCAGTCTAACTCTAACCTTGAAACTGCCGACAGATATCAGGATGTTTTTCTGCGGAATTCGGAAGCCGGTGCTGAGCATTGCCTTCAGATACGCCTCGTAGCGATTCTCTCCGTAGCAGGCCACTTCTCCTGTGCTAGACATCTCCACTCCAAGCATGACGTCGGCTCCTGCCAGCCGCGAGAACGAAAACTGCGGCACCTGCAGCGAGAAGACAAGAGAGCCTCACATCGGTACATCATCAAAGTTTACTTCTAGAAGCCACGAAGCAAGTTCGAATAAATACGACATCCAGTTTGCTAAGACTATTATCGGTGTATGAGCAATTATTGCGATTCATACAATGTAAAATTAGTTTTAAGGAAGGATAAAAAAAATTTAAAGACCATGAAATATGAGATTTTCAATAGGCACCTTTACTCCGACTTTGCCATGGGCTTCTGACGTTCCAAACACCACATCGACCGGTTCTGGTGACTTGCCCATGATAGCCTGCGTTGCCATGGAGATGAAATCATGGCCGAGCGTTTTGGAGATGAAGGGGAATGAACGGGAGACTCGGAGGTTGCATTCAATCACCTTCAGTTGATTGTCCTGTTAAATTTCAGTGAAAATTTGTAGTAAAATTGTAAAAAGGAAAAGATCTTGATAGTATTATCTACTAAACATACAGCTGCCAAAATCAAATTTGACTAATATATTAGGATGTTCAATGGAACAGACTAAAGTTAGAAACTGCTCAAATCAACACATATATCTAAATTAACACACAGCAATCTAATGTTCTTGTTATCATAGTAAATGACAGTCACATTTACGAGCAAATTGAATAGACTTCATCGTAATAAGCGTAAACTGGCTAACAGGTTATATAAATATGTTTATCATGAAACAATTTTTTTTTACAAATACACTGCAGTCAAGAACCTCCTAGGTAATAACTATAGTAATACCATAATAGTAATAATGCATAACAATTAAAAATAATAAAATAAAATAATATAATAAGATATGATATATATATCAAGAGTACATAATGGGAGTAGTAATAGTAATAGTATAATAGTAAATAACCAGTAAATACAAGTAACAACGCAGTAAGAAAGTGAACGAACCCACCTTGGCGATGAGCTGCATGTTGAAAGGTCCCGTGACTTCGAGCTCCTGCCCGATGGCATGGCAGATCACGCGAATCTTCTCGAGGGTCTCGGCGTTGAGGTCCTGCGGCGGCGTGACGAGGGTCGCGTCCCCGGAGTGCACGCCGGCGTTCTCGACGTGCTCCGACACGGCCATGCTCAGCACCCTGCCGTCGCACGCCACCGCATCCACGTCAATCTCCTAGCAAAACACGCCGCGAGTGTGAGTGCACGCACGCACACGCACGTACAAAGTGCTCCGACACGCACACACACACGCACGTACAAAGTGCTCCGACACGCACACACACACGCACGCACGCACGCACGCACGTACGCACGCACTGCCAGACGGACGGACGGACAAATCATTTTCCTAGAGGCTCTTCATGACTTACACGAGGACTCATTTTCCATGGCCCTGAGATTTTAGTCGATTTTAATCGTCATGCCCTGTATCGTCCAATCAAGGCTTAGTGAACTCTTGTCCGACGCAAATTTCATTGCCTCTTAGTCAATAGCAGTTTAGATAGCAATTAGCACCGCTAAATGGGAACCACGGGATTGAGACATCTATTTCGATAAAATAATTCCGCAATAAAATCCGTTTAATTAATCTCTTCGGCTCTGCGATTACGCATAGAGAGAAAATCCGCGGACGCCGGACGATACCTTCGCTTCGAGAATGAACCTGGAGATGACGACCGGGTGTTCCTTCGAGACCTGGCTGGCCATGTTGAGATAGTTCTCAAGGTCGCGGTCAGAGTGCGCCACGTTCATCGCCGCGCCGCTCAGCACGTAGGAAGGTCGCACGAGGCACGGATACCCCACCTCCTGACAGAACACCTTCGCCGCCTACTCGCGAAAAAGAAAACACAGTCAGAACATGCAAATAAACGTGTGAAGCGGAGGCCTGGATCGTCTTTACATGACGTAGATCCTCTGCACTACCCTTTGTGAGTTCACTAAGCATATGAGTCAATACCACTGAGCTATAAAGTCGGCGAGGAACAACATTGTGAAGAAAAAGTATCGAGCTGGGCCATTCAATCAGGAATAGATATTTCAACTTTTATTTACAGGCATAGCCTTACCCAGGCTATCCTAAAATTGCAATTGAAAACATAATTTGCATTTTAGAGGGTTACAATATCACCAGATCACCTTTCAAGACAAACGCCTCAGCACACATACCTCGACGGTTGTCAGCTCCTTCCAACGTGGCTGGCTTATACCAATGCTGTCGAGCATGCGCGAAAACTTGAACCTGTTCTCTGCACTGTCAATGTTCTCTGGAGAGGTGCCAAGGATTCGTGCCTGCACACGAATGCACGAGTGAGCTTAGCCATTATGTTACTGAGGGGGCCAGTCATTAGAAACACCGCCAATAGTTGCGACTGTCGTGAGTATAAAATGTCATCATCTTTGCACGGAACTTCACTTCAAACATTATGACATAATGACAGCAGTGACTAACCATGTTTCTCATAATGGGCCTAGACACACACAAACACCAGACCACAACTTCATAGAAAATGCATTTAAAGCACTCGTGGTAACTTCGAGAAAAAAAACACAGGCGAAAAGTCTACAGAAACACGTGGAGGGATCTTGTTACCATAGTAACTGATGCAGTCAGCAGAACTGTGCGGAGAGAAGAAATATGACAACGTGAGGTGAGTGGGAGGAGAAGAGTACAGTAATCATTATTATAAAAACACTCGAATGTAACAGGTAGCAATGAGGAACCTGAGCAGTGTGACTGGACAGTGGCTGGTAGTGGTAAAAAGAAGAATGGTTGGAAAGCGGAATGGATAGAACCGTATCACGGAAGTATCATCGCTAAATACACGCAGTGCGAATGATCTGCATACCTGCTGTCTGTGAAGAGCCATGGCTATGTTGTTTGGCAGCTGTCCTCCCATACATAGGATGACACCTGTTGGGTTCTCCAGCTCATAGATATCCATCACCACCTGCAATTATAAGTAACCTCTAATCAGAACCAACACACATATTCAGAAATGTTGTAGGACGATTGCACCAGCACATTAATGTCTACAATGCAATTGCGAGAGAAATTATGGGAATCTGTTGAAAATGTGTTGTACTGACCTCGAGTGATATCTCGTCAAAGTAGAGCCGGTCACACATGTCATAATCTGTGCTCACTGTTTCCGGATTGTAGTTCAACATAATTGTTTTGTAGCCGAGCTAAATATGAATGAGCAAATAACACATGAGCACACTACATCTCGAAGTGCCACTCTTTGGGATAAAAACACCTTTGTGAATAGTCAAGAGTATACTTCAAATTAACCTACATTGAATTGATCGTTTAGTCGCCATTCATTAGCAAAAACAAACCACAATGAGATAACACAAATATTTCTCAATGTGATATACTATAATTGCATTTGTCAGTTTGTGAACACTCTCTTAGCTACCATCTGAGACCAAGTTATGCCCAAGTTAAACAGCCCAACCACAGACAGCCCTTACCTTCCTAAGTTCTTTTATGCAACCTACTGCACACCAGTCAAACTCAACACTACTGCCAATGCGATAGACACCTGAGCCAATCACCATGGTGTAATCGCCAGAAAATTCAACGTCATGCTCAATGCCTGTAGAAAACAAGAACGGGACAATTAGAAGCATCCAACAATGAAAGCTCGGTAAAGAATATGACAGCAGAATGAAAAGATGCTATCTGCACACGTTCGCACACATAGTCTCTACATTTTTGGCAGATTTTATTATTAATTTGCTATTTATTAAATATCATGAAATTGGGACATTAAATTATGATCCTCAAGTTCTCCAATGAGAAAAATGCATGGCGATTCTGCCAAAAAGCATTTCTCAACTATTTCTGTATTGAGAGTGGTGCTGCTTCCTAATACAAACTCATTTTAAATATCGATAATAGTATGCCCTTTGTTAAATTACTATTTTTTGGGTTTTTGCTATTTTTGCATGTTTTCTCAAATAATTTTAGTTAAAATGTCTAAGGTTGTACAACTCAACAGTTTTTTGTACCTATATATGGCTGGTTTTGATGTGGAAATTTGTAGATAGGACATGATGCAGGTTTTAAAAATCTGTGCCATTTTTTAGTGTAGGAACACTTTATACTTGTATTCTTCCTTAAATATTAGGCACATTCAGACAAATTCATACACCCATCAACTAATCATATTCTAAATTTCACCTTACTACCTACAGCACAATCATGAAACCTTTTTTCCAGGAAAGCTTTACAGCTCATATCATATATCATAAGTTCTGACAACATAACAAACTTGTTGAAACATCTCACCATTGTAGGTTGAGTAGAGGTAGTTAGTGTGCGCTGGCCACTCTCCGGCCAAAGTATCAATCTGTTTTATGCAGGACAAAACTCCCAAGTCCTTCCTCGTCTTACGCACAACCAGTTCCGTGCTACAAGTAAAACCAATCACCAATGAGATAATGGCTGGTATATATAAGACGGAATACAAGGCTCGACACTAGCGGTGGCCCGGTGGCCCGGGGCCACCAAAACTTGATGTCGGGCCACCAAAATCTCCAAAAGTTGAAATTTGGTGGCCCGCCCGGGCCACTAAAATT